GCCCAGCCGCTCCGCGGCACGTGGGATCCTCCCGGACCGGGGCACAAACCCGTGTCCCCTGCATCGGCAGGGGGGGGGGGGGGGGCGGCCCCCCGTGGGTCCTGGGCTACGACCGGGGCAGGAGGGCTCATTGAGGGGGTGATGGTGTCGCTGGGCCTCGAAGACTGGGCTGGTGCGGGGAGGGATTGCATTGGATGCAGATGGAGAGAGGCACTGGGGCGGGGAGGTGTGTTCGCGGGGCCGGGAGCAACCTGCTGGACCCAGAACCAGGACGCCCACACGGGGGACAGAGCAGCTACAAATGCATCAGGGAACCGGGGGCTTGGGGCTTGAACGTCGGGCTGAGACGGGTGGGCAGTGGAGGCCCTCGGTGGGTTTCTCAGCAGTAAGCAGGGGCCTGTGCTTTAGGAAGTGAACTCTCACTCGCTCTCCAGAAGGAAAGAATTGGGAGCTGGAGGGACGGACGCTAGCGGCAGGGAGACTGTTCTTCTCGCAGATTCCAGCGTGAGGGCCAGCACGAGGGTGGGCGCGAGCAGGCCAAGAGGAAGACCCAGCCTGGTGAGAGACGTCCGTCTTGCTGGCCTCTTCCCAGGGTCTGCGCATCCTGGCACTCGGCCAGGCACGGGCCCAGAGGCACTGATTCCCCCGACCCCGCGCCCTGTGCTCCATCATCACGCACTGGCCTGGGGCTGGCTGGCCTGTCCCCAGCGAAGCCCAGGCAGCTTGGCTGGGGCCCGGGCTAGAGGGCGGGGCTGCCGGTTGAGATGGAAGTGACAGGCCATGGGGAGCTCAGCTGGGGCAGGGGTGGGGAGGCCAGGCGGCAGGCGGGGCAGCCCTAGCGGCCACCACCATCACTAATTTGTTCCGCCCAAAAGAGCACCGGATTTTTGCATCTGTGTTCATCAGTGCTGTTGGCCTGTAGTTTTCTTTCTTTGTGACATCCTTGTCTGGTTTTGGTATCAGGGTGATGGTGGCCTCGTAGAATGAGTTGGGAAGTGTTCCTCCCTCTGCTGTATTGTGGAAGAGTTTGAGAAGGATGGGTGTGAGCTCTTCTCTAAATGTTTCATAGAATTCGCCTGTGAAGCCATCTGGTCCTGGGCTTTTGTTTGTTGGAAGATTTTTAATCAGTTTCAATTTCAGTGGTTGTGATTGGTCTGTTCATATTTTCTATTTCTTCCTGATTCAGTCTTGGCAGGTTGTGCATACAATGGAATATTACTCAGCCATAAAAAGAAACGAAATTGAGCTATTTGTAATGAGGTGGATAGACCTAGAGTCTGTCATACAGAGTGAAGTAAGTCAGAAAGAGAAAGACAAATACCGTACGCTAACACATATATATGGAATATAAGAAAAAAAAATGTCATGAAGAACCTAGGGGTAAGACAGGAATAAAGACACAGACCGACTGCAGAACGGACTTGAGGATATGGGGAGGGGGAAGGGTGAGCTGTGACAAAGTGAGAGAGAGGCATGGACATATATTCACTACCAAACGTAAGGTAGAGAGCTAGTGGGAAGCAGCCGCATAGCACAGGGAGGTCAGCTCGGTGCTCTGTGACCGTCTGGAGGGGTGGGATAGGGAGGGTGGGAGGGAGGGAGACGCAAGAGGGAAGAGATACGGGAACATATGTCTATGTATAATGGATTCACTTTGTTATAAAGCAGAAACTAACACACCACTGTAAAGCAATGATACTCCAATAAAGATGAAAAAAAAAAAAATGCACCGGAAGAGGCTACACACACACTCTCGGGTTGGGGAGAGGAGAGGGGTTTTCTTTTGTTTTCCAGGGAGCTGGGACGGGCTGGGGAGGGCCAGCCTTCTCCGTGTGAATCCTGCCCTGGCCTTCCTCTCTCACCGGAAAGGGGAGGAAGCAGGGGGTTCCCGGGCAGGGACAGGGCCCCGGGGGGAGTGGGGGAGGGCGGCTGCGCGGGAGGCGTCCCCACGCTCTGGGCAGGTGCTTCGGCAGGACCTGGCCCTAGAAGAGGAGGCTGACCTGGAGCCCCGTGTCCCCTGGAACCAGGCTTCTGGGGGCTCGTTTATGAACACAAGACACAACGAGACCAGTGCAGAAGCGGCAGGACTCAGAAGACGCCCCCAGCTCCCCCATCAGTGATCCTCTTGCTACGTTACTTGACATTTTCCCTCCATCTTTCTCTACGGAAAGATCCTACTGCATTTTTCTGTCTCTGTGACTCAGAGCTGGCCTGCTTCTGTGTCTTGATTTTCACCGTTTCAGATGAAATCATTTCTCAACAGAGTTCCCTTTTTCTTAATCGCTTACATTTCTGTTGTGGTCTCCCTGGCTTCAACATCCTGACCTGATGTTGCAAAATGTAGCTGCTCTGTCATCTCATGATCTGATGGGAGGGAGGGGATGGCACCCGCCATGTAGACGGGAGCCATGTAGACGGGAGGCCGAGGGCGTGGAAACAGTGCACACACTGAACCCTCTGGGGGCCTGAGAAACAGCCCTCGGGTCCCCAAGTGAGAGTTTGTCAAGGTGAGAATCTCTGGAGGGTCCCTAGGAGGCCAAGACTGTCCCGAACCAGGACCTTCAGGGCTTGGTTTCTCCTCGGGGTCCCTTCCGAGTCACCCGGGCCTGGGCCGTGGAGGGTGGAGGGTGCCTGGGGGGTGTCATCACACAAGCTCTGGGCGCTGGTGAATACCAGCTGACTCTTGTTTCGTAAGATTATTAGTGACTCGACAGCTGTGCCCTGTGGGCAGTTTCCGGGGTAAACGGCTTGCTGACCCCAGGACCTCTCCTGTGGCTGTGGAGCCGGTGTCTCCCCCTTAGGCGGGCCTCATGCCTTCAGGTCCTCCTTGTAGGAGGACAACCTGGGATCAGGGGCCCGAGGCGCCATCCCCACCCTCTCGTGTGGCCCTTTGATAGTTCCTGGGGAGGGAAGGCAAAGGAAGGGCCTCTCCGTGACCACGCGCCCGCTCTGCAAATTCCCACATCGGGCTCCTCCCGGCTGGAGAAAAATTAGGAACGTTCAGCTGACCACAGGCTCATGACTCTCCCACAGAGGACGGGTGGGATGCAAATTTAGTTTGTCCTTAGTGCTGGGCAGGAAAAACGACCCGCTGAATGCGACGGGTAGTGTTTGGGGAGCATGTGGTCCTCCGGGGCTTAGGGCAGCCCCTCCCAGGTGAGGCCACTTCTGCTCTGGTCCCCAGCTCTGCAGGGAGCAACTCAGCCAGACGGTTCAGTCGATGTGTGGGGTTAGCGAGTGGATGAGTGAATGAGACATGAACTAGAAGTGGTCCGATCCTGGTCTCAGCCCTGCCGTTCACCAGCTGTGTGGCCTCAGTTTCCCCATTGATAAGATGGAAACACACTTCCCCAGCTGAGGACTGTTTCACGGGAAGCTGGTGTGTGTGAGGCCTTGTGGCCATGGCCAAGGAGTGGGCAACGAGGTGCTCAAAGGTCCCCACAGACCTATTGTTTCTGTTCAATTGTTCCACGCAGGAGAAATGCTATCAGTACTGGCCGGACCAGGGCTGCTGGACCTACGGAAGCATCCGGGTGTGTGTGGAGGACTGCGTGGTCCTGGTGGATTACACCATCCGGAAGTTCTGCATTCAGTCCGTAAGCACGTTACATCCTGGACTTTTCTGGAGGAGCAGGGTAGGGAGTAAATACCCGTCTACGTTTATAATAGGAAGCGCTTTGCCTGTGGCTCTCACGAGTGGAGGATGAGGCTGGAGGAAGTGCCGGGCGGGGATGTGGGACGGTCGTTAGTGGGCCCAGGCAGTGAGTCTACAGGGCAGATGGCAGACAGGTGCACGTGGGCCTTGAGTCAGTGCCGGATGTTCCTGGCTCCCAGGGACCTTTCTGGGTGGAGGAAGTCGAGTCAGTGGGAGGGTCATGGGGGTCCCCACTCAGTGACACAGTGTCATTTCACACGCTGGAATGGTGAGGTGAGGTTTTTTTAGCAGTTTCAAAATTATGTCTGAAACACCTCATTAGTTTTCCCACTGATTTCCTGCTAATCCATCCTTCCCAGAAAGGATTTAAGGCAGTAAAGATACCTGTATGCAAGGCAGATGCAGTAGAGGCTTAAGAGATTAAAAAAACCCAGAAAAGACAGAAGGTCGTGTCATCAGGAATGGAAGGTAGAGTGAGGGGTGTAGTTAGATTACAAAATACGAGTCTGAGGTTCCGAGAGACCACAGCAAAAAAGGAAAGAGGATGAGCTTCATCGTTCTTACTATCCCCGGCCTGCTTGCCTCCCCAAAACACACACACACACACACACACACACACACACACACACACACACACACACACACACACACTTCCCAATACACCGTATAACTTTCTGTGGCTTTGGGCAGAGAACCAAACCTGGGTTCTGGGTAATAAAATCTGAGAGAGGCTTTGAGGCATGGGGTGGAGGGGTCTCCCGAGGGTAGGCCAACCACATCTTTTCCCCAAAAATTAAGATGCTTATGAGAGTGAAAGCTTATGCTGTTGGTAGTTACACAGGCATAAAAGCTAGGCCTACTGGGATGCAGCCACCCTGCTTCCCAGTGGGGTCCATGAGCCCTAGGGCCATCTGTAGGGATGTATCTGGCTGCCTGGGGCCTGGCCTGGCCTGGTCCTGGGACAGGTGACCGTGGGTCCTGCTCTGCTGCCCCTGCTGCCATGGTGCTGTGTCCAGAGCCAGCAGTAAGAATCAGGGTCTCTCACTCTGGGGCGTCCAGCCTTCACTGATGGGCCCCTCCCTGCACCCGTACCCATGGCTGCCCACACCTGGATGGCAGAGGGGGACCCCAAGCAAGCATTCTCAGAGCGTGATGCTGGGGAGGCATAGGGGCCGCCCCACCTGCTCACACCTCCGTGTATCCCCGCAGCAGCTCCCCGACGGCTGCAAAGCCCCTCGGCTCGTCTGCCAGCTGCACTTCACCAGCTGGCCCGACTTCGGAGTGCCCTTCACCCCCATCGGGATGCTCAAGTTCCTGAAAAAAGTGAGGACACTCAACCCCACGCACGCTGGGCCCATAGTGGTCCACTGTAGGTACGTGCGGGGCAGGGGCCACGGGGCGGGTCCTCCAGGGAGGACTCAGGCCCTCATGGGAAAATCACCAGGGGATGGATAGCGGGTGGGCAGAGGGGCAGCACGGGAGACGTGAAAGCACCTCCTGGATACCGGGTGCAGCTCAGAGAATCCCTCAGGGCAAGAGCTGGAGGGATATTCCCCATCCGGGGCGGCGGAGCCCCTTCCTCAGTGCCACCGGGGGAGAAAGCCTAATGTCGGAACCACACAGAGCCGAGAGGCCCAGGTTGATGGTGGGGATGGAACTCTGCCATTCACCCCCCAGGGACCCTCAGGTCACCTCCAGGAACGGGGATGGAAACCACGCTTCTATAGGGGTCCACCTGACCTCTCTCAGCAGAGGTCTCCGCATCAGTAACGGGGAGGACAGCCTCGGAGGGGCTGGGACTCACCTCTGGGAGTGGGCTTTGCATGCTGCCGAGCACCGTTTCCGTGTAAGTTGCTGCGGCTGTGGTTACAGCCGCAGCAACTAAGGTGATGGAAGAGCAGGTTCTGAAGTGATTGCTTCTCCCAGAGCATGTTCCCCTCTGCCTCTGCATACCGGGACGTCCTCTGGTTGTTCTCACGCTGGGCTCTTATTTGCTCTGACCTCCCCAAGCCATAGAGTCAGGGCTCAAATCCACCCCCTCTGTAGCTCACGACTAAATGCCAATTCGGCTTCGAACACGAAAATCATGGTCATGAAAAGGCCTTGGACTTCTGGGGGGCCGGCTGGCATGTGCACGTTTTGTTTTTTAAGACAAAGGTACAAAGATGAGAACGTTCCCCAGCCATGCTTCTCATTCTTTGGTGGATGCACGGTCAGAACCCGAAGGTGCTGGCCAGATCCTTTCTCTGCCCCAGCCCAGGGGCTTCTGCTGTGCCCCTCATTGCCCAGGCTAGGAGGTTTGGGGGTCGCTGCTGGGGGGAGCGCCTGGTGTCCTGGCCGGGGATGGAATCCTGGATCTGCACCTGGGAGCTGAGCAACTACACATCGGGTGAGGTGACACCTGTAAGAGTCCCGTTACCTGGCCCTGCACGCTCCTCCCAGCAGCTGCACTGGAGGGGGTGGGACATGGTCTAGCCCCGCTTGACCCCCTCAAGGCGGCAGCCCCTGTTCTCAGACGCCCTGGAAGCCAGAGTCTGCGTGCTGTTTCTGCTGAACACCCGTGTGGCAGGTTCGGAGCACCTGTGTCACTAGGTGCAGGTGCCTTTTGCCCCTGGCAGGGCTGTGATACTCAGCTGGAAACCCAGTGTCCAGTCAGCGTGACACCCGGTGAGCAGGGCCCTTCCTCCTCAAGCCTGGACAGCCTGGCCACAGGCCTGGGTTCCTGCAAGGGGATTTCTGAGAAACCCCGCAGAGATGCGGGCCTGCGTAGCCGAGTCAGTGGGGTCGATGCCGGCAGCTTGTCATCGGGCAGAGAGTTTGAAGGGCCCTCCGCTGGAGAAGCGGCTGGCAGGGAGCTACGGGCTCAGTTCCCGTCAGCTGCAGGAGGCCAGCAGCTGTGCTCTGGAGGGCAGGGGATAAAGAAGCAGCCTCTGTGTGGCATCAGGGGCGGCTGTGGGCAGCTGTTCAGTGCTATTCTCTTCTGACGCCTCTGGATCCACCGTGCGTGTGCAAACTCAGTATGCGGCCCTCCCCTGCTCCCCCTCCCTCACCACAGGTGCCCCGGGCAGGTGCATGTGCCCTTCATCTTGGTTTCCATCCTTGGTTCCCCTGTGGCCGTGAATCTCAGCCTTTGCCATTGAACACAAAAGTAGTCTCTCGGGGTAATGCTTTACTTCCGTGCCGCCAGTGCAGCTCTGCGCCCTCCCTGCTGCTCTGTGCTCTGCTTTGCCAGCGCGTTTTTGTGTGCGTGGAAGGGAAGCCCTTCTCTCTGAGTCTGCTTTCCCGCAGAGCTGAGTTCCCCTGCAGGCAGTTGGGTGGTCTGGGCGCTGCCTGGCAGCGGGTCACGTGGTGACAGCAGTTCCCACCAGGAGTTCAGGCCAGCCGGAGCCCCCCCGGAAGAGGGAAAAGGCTCCCTTGGGCTGGCAGCCTCCAGTCTCGGGGGGAGCGAACTAGACCTCCTCATTCCTCCAAGTTCATCTTCTCACGGGGTCTCCTGGGGCTCCAGAACGTGCATCGCCTGGGGGTGGGAGGTTTCTCGATTTCCTCTCTCCCACACTCACCCTCAACATCTCCCCCCTTAATCCCTTAGAAAGAACCCACTGCCTGCCCGAGGTCCCTGTACAAACAGCAGGTAGGGTCTCTAGCTAGGGCTGTGAGCTCTGCAGCAGCATCCAG